TAGGCAAATGTTAGATTTAATTTCACTAAGTCCCCCAAAGTCATCCTTTATTATTAAAACTTACAGGCCACTTCAAAGTAGATGTTAGACCAGTGAAACACAACCTTTTCCAAATCTCTAGTACTCCCGAGGACTATTTGTAAACCCTCATATGGATGAAGAGAAAATAACTCCTCTGTGCCCTAATCAACACAGCCACTGGGTAGAAAAAGTTGACTTCTGATGTGATAAAAGCAGACTCACTCCTGCTCTAGATCCGAGGGGAGGGATGGGGCATGTAGGCAGGCAGGGCAGATGGCACTCAGCAGCGCTGCTGAGGAGCTTGAAGGCCTTGGGATCAACTACCGACAAAGATAATAGCATGTTTTTCCAGAAGCAGCGCTTGGCAGAAGTAATAACAGTGGCTCAGGCTATAATCCAGTTTAAAGTAGAAACATACGACATATATCAGCCCGAAACATTTTTTTTAAGTAAGACCAAACGCAAAATAATAGCCATAGTCCAAGTTACTTTTCTGCCCCCCGTCCCCCGCCCCAGTGTAAAATCTTACTCCTTTAGAGAAAGGAAGCAAATTGGCTGTTCTGAAGAACAGCCACTTGGGTTTTACCAGCCACACCTTTATTTCCAGCTGTCCTGAATCAGACCATTTGGTGCCCTATGGCTCTGCAAGGCCTTAGAAAACATTCAGAGCTGGGTGCAGTGGCACATACCTGTAACTCCAGCTACTCAGGCAGGAGGATAGTAAGTTCAAAGTGGAACCCCCTAACAACTGAGGGAGACCCTGTCTCAAAATTACAAAATACATAAGTAAGTAAATAAAAAGGGCTGGGGATGTAGCTCAGTGGTAAAGAGCCAGTTGCGTTCATTCTGCAGTGCCACCAAAATAAACACTTAAGAGATTTTAAAAATTACTGGCTAGTAATTAAAAGGCATATCTATTTTTTTTTTAATATTTGTTTTCTTTTAGTTGTAGATGGACACAATATCTTTATTTTATTTATTTATTTTTATGTGGTGCTGAGGATCAAACCCAGGGCCTCACACATGCTAGGCAAGTACTCTACCACTGAGCCACAACCCAAGCCCCAACATATCTAATTTTAATAGGCCTTTTCCCCATTCTTCCACACCTCTGTAAATTGTTTTACATTACTCTCACACTATCCAAGCAGAAGCGACCCTGGCCCCAAAGATGAGTCAGAGTGCTAGAATGCACTGTGTGACAGGCCTTAAGCCAGCAGTGAGCACCTGTGCAGTTGTGACTGTTGGTCCTCAAAGGCTCTGGAGCGATCACATTAAAAGTATGAATTAAAATAGTTCTTAACCTCCATCAGTATTTAATCTAACCCAGGACAAGTCAGCCACAATTCAGCTGAGAATGAGAATTGCAAAATTCTAACAAAACCAAGGAGCCAAATTTATGAATCTTTGGAGCAGGTCGGCATGTTCTTACTTTGCTGACTCCCTGACGGCTCTCACAGGGAGGGGCCAGGGCCTCTGGGTCGCCAGATGCAGCTGAGGCAGCGGTTCCCACCAGGAGCATCCCCTGCAGGGATGAAGCACTGAGTCCGGGGAGCTTACGACTAGGAGTTCAGTTCCTGACACTGACAGATCTGCCCCTCTGCAGACAGACAGACACACCCAGTCCTCACAGAGCAGCTACCTCAAGCAATCTTTTCATGTCATCCTACCAACCTTAGCAAGTTAAGCTGTAACTATGGAGGGAGCAGAAAACTAAAGCTGTGGTCATGGGCTTCAAAAGTGTCACGTTCTTTCCCAGCCTTGATGTCATGCAGGTAATTTCTTTAGAGAAAATAAAAAATCTATTGCCAACTCAGTGATCGCTGATGCCAGTGCATCAGGTACCCCTCCTCCTCATCCAATGAAGATGGCATCTTTGGGAAACTGAAAACACTTTTCACCACCAGAGCCCAGGGTCTCTGTCTTCTTTTCTATTCATTCATAAATAAAAGGGTGTAATTTATTATAACACCAGCCGAGAGTTAAAAATTGTTTTATTTTTACTGAGGAAAAGCCATCACTATTTTAAACACCCAGCAATCGGGAGCTCTGTGAAAACAAGAAGCCACAGACAATGCTCAATTTACTTTAGAATCACTTATCTTATTTCAATTCTGCTTCTTTCCTGCCTTGATACTAGTCAACTCAGTTCACGCTGGCCCTCAACACAGCTTCCAGCTGAATGAGAGGACCTACGGCAAGCCCAAGTGCACCTACCAGGAAATACCTTTTAGTAATGTGGTGCCTGGATTAGAATCCCAGCTATGCCGCTCAGAGCTTTTGTTTCCTCATCTAAAAATGAGATGATCTCTGCAAAGCACCTGGAAGCATGTCTAGTACTTAACTGTTAAAAAAAACTAACTCCAGTATATACCTGACGGCATCACTTTGTCAAGTATACACTTCAGAGCTCAAGCATGCTGGCTTTTAAACTTAGCAGTGTATTTGAAAGCCAAATATAAATATTTAGGATTCTATCATTTTAAAATCTCCCCTTTAGCATAAATTTGTATCCATTTAAATATAGTATTAAGATTTTTGAAAGCCCTTTGTAATTATTTTTCACTACTCCTCAAAGGGACAACTCCACCTCTGCTCACACACACACAGGGAATTCCACCAGGCAAACGCTCTATAATGGAGCTACATCCCCAGACCTTTGCCCAAGCTGGCCTCAAACTTGCAGTCCTCCTGCCTCAGTATATGGAATTCCAGGCATGCGTTATGCATCTGACCATCACCCATACTCTTACTTATTCTGCCCTCGGCACTTTAAAATGTTCTCCATACCACTCTCCGTGCTGTCTGGCCATCTTTCCAAATCTCACCAAACCTTTGAAAAGCTTCTCTTATTGCACACCCCCCATCATTTCCCTTTGCAAACAAATTATATGTTCTCTACTAACTAAATTCATACTTCATCTCGGCTGAACTGTTCTACGACAGTTCTGTGCCTGTTTCATCTCCCTGCTGTACTGAAAGCTCCTAGTGGGCAGGATCACATATTTTATTCCTCCTGTGTCTCCTACCACAGCCAAATACATTCCGCTCTAGATGTGCATAGATGTGTTAATACTTAGGGATGACTGTCTATACACTAATGAAATTCTTAAGGAGCCCTGAGATATGGAGATGACTCAATTTGAGTCAGAAATACTTTCATGAAACTTTGGTTCATATAAATATTTTTGAAATAAGATTCTGCACAGATTAAGAGAAAAGGGAGACCCCAAATACTGACATTTTCAATGCGTTCTAGCGACTTCTAAATGATCCAAGGGTCCATAAAAACATCCCAAGAGCTCATCAATTTCAAGAAATACCTCAATAGCCTCTCATCATGGTCCAGCTTTTCCAAAGGAAGCAGCTAGCTGATGAGACCTTAATTAAAGATGGCAGGAAAGACGAGGACGAGACCACCATACCCTCTGGATGATATCATGGAATTGGATGAAAAGCATCAGTCCCCAAAGAAGAGGACAAAAACCACGTCACAATGCAGGAGATGAGTGCAGTGCCCTGGCCCTCTCCTGAGACTGTAGCGTGGCTCAGCAAGACAGCTCACAGCTGCCTAAGGGCTTCCTTTGCAGAGAGCAGTGGAGTGACTGATTTTGCTTCTTTCAGCTTTCATCTTCCCATCAAACTCAGCTGCCTCAAGTTTCCATTCTAACAAGGCTGCTCACTACCCTTAGAACAGTCACAGACTCTGGATGATTAAATTTAAGAAAGAAAAATTTAAGGACTCCGGAGAATTATATAAGTTAAAAGAAAATCTTTATTTAAGAGTATTAAGATGTGAAGTCCTTTCTCATTACAGCAATATTGTCTGGCCAACTTACTCCTCTCATATCCTGTACAACTAACATGACTGCACAAAATCCTCTATAAAGACCATATCAATCCATTCTGTTACCACTGCTCAATAAATTTCCTCTATGACACCATGTGAAGAAAGACCACTCACATCACCAGGTTTCTTAAGTTCTCTCTTGATCTAAACCATATATAAACCACTAGTCAGAAAAATACCATTTTATAGAGCAACTTGCCCCTCAAATAAACAACTTTATTTTAAAAATTGAGGATGAATGCCACCATGAAGCAAAACTCGACTTCACAGTCTGTGTAGCTGTACAGGTGGGACACAGGGCTTAAGTGGACAGCATTTTCCATCAGAGAAGAATGCAGGGGAATTCTCCCAATACTCAACCACACAACACCTGCCACCATGAACTATCAGCACCAGGGCTTCATCAACCAGTCCCAACCAACAACCAGGAGCTACCGTCACCTTAGCAGGGCATGAGGAAAACAGATCAAGAACTCATACAGCTAGAAGGGTATCTCACAACAGAGTATTTAAATTCTCGGCTAACATTTCTCTCACTTATCTCCCACATTTGAAAAGTCAAAATATCACTTGAGCCACGCTGGGTTGTGGGTAAAGAGGTCAATGGGCCATAACAGATTGAAAAGACGTCAACAAGACATGCAAACACGGTAAATAAAGTTAAAGTCCAACAACAATAATAAGGACAAGATAACTGAGTTTCTCTTTCTACTCATGGGGGGAGCACCTCAAACAATCAATTAGAAACAAATCCCTAATGTGTGTTGTTGTGCTCTCAGCTTTGTATACATCCACACTGGAAGCATGGCTAGTGATATTTTGACATTTGCTTTTGTTTTGTAAATGCTAATATGGTTTTAAAAAAAAAGTCGGTCTTTCAACATTCAAACCAGAACAGAGAGATGGGAATAAATTATAAAATGTGGATGCAGCAATATCCACAAGATGTGGGGTGGGGGAGGGGAGAAGGGGTAGGCATTTGTGTTGCTGGTGTTGGCAGAAGAGGTGAGCAGTCTCACAGAGCCACCTCCACTGAGTGGCAGTCAGGATTCTAGGTTTGCCAAGAAGGGGTATCACGAATCCCAAGGCCCACCACCTATCCCTTCTCCTCTTCTCCGAGGGCACCTACCTTACTGTAAGTCACTACTGATAAGTTGTTTGCGTGACTGCTGGGGGACAGATTTACAGAGTTCTGTGAGAGTCTATTCTGATCTTGCTCGGTTTGGTCAGGAGCAGGAGCCCATGTGTTTTTGCTGATCGAGTCGAACCCGGAACCCCCAGGGTCTTTTAAGTTGTTTTCATCTGATTGTCGGTTCTTTTGGGGAGAGGCAAACGGGTTGAAGTTTCCTTCTACCTTGCGATGAGGCTGTGTGTTGAACTCCGTTTCAAAAGATGACAGCTGCTGCGTTACTCCTAACAGTCCACCCACCTCCACACTGAGAATCACCCAGATGACATCTGAAATGAAAAGGCAACTCATATCAATGCCAGGCACACCTCTGAGGTCCAGGCAGCCATCACCAAACCCCCTCCCCCCCAAACACCATCTAAACAACAGAAATCATTATCTATATGATAGCTTTTAAAAGCTTGCTGACAAAGTTGTCAAGAGCATTTGAACTGCATGTACTTCTATATTTTTATGTAATGGTAAGTACAAACTCTGGTATGGATGTGTGGTGAGAACCATGAAACTCTTATTTGTGAAAGCTTACAAGTTGATTCTGATTGCACAGCTATTTTTGGAACTCATTACTCCAGAGAACAATGAAAACAGAAACTAAAAAACTATCCTTGCAAGAATCAACAGTTTTTTGTAAGTTTTACGTTTTCTTGCATATGTTCAACTCAGAAATTCAGGGAAGCCATAGTTCATAAGTCAAAAAATATGACTAAAACTGCAACATATTAACCTCTTTTTAGGCTAATTTAAAGTGACCATATATTGTCCAAACTAGGACAACTGAGATTAAAAAAGGGAACTGTTAATAATCACACGAGTAAGAGGTGTAAACCAGCACCAACCTAGCCAAACCGGGACATATATAACTCTAGTTTCTCAATCCATCTGATCAAAACACACCATAACTTTGGTAGGCCTCAGACTTTCTACAGTAATCCAACTGACCACCAACTTTGTTTCTGTGTAACACAGGAAACCCTACTACCTATGTATACTGAACAGTAGGTTTTCTAAAAACAGGCACCTGAGGTCATAATTCAGTTTCTGATTTTCTCAACTGCCAAAGCTAAGGATTCAGACAGAAAAATAAAGAAAGTAGCTGTTTTTCGTTGGTATTCAGCACCTCGCTTCAAGACACTGTCCTCTACATTCCTGCTGAATGCTTTTTAAAAAGTAAGCTACCGCTACCGAGGACTGGGGCTGGGGCTGGGTGGTAGAGTGCTTGCCTAGTATGTGTGAGGCACTGGGTTTGATTCTTAGGACCACATATAAATAAATAAAGGCCTGTCAATAACAAAAATATTTAGGGAAAAAAAAAAGGTAAGCTACCAAGCTGGGCATGGTGGCACACGCCTGTAATTCCAGTATCCTGGGAGGCTGAGGCAGGAGGATCACAAGTTGGAAACCAATTTCAGCAACAGTGAGGCGCTGAGCAACTCAGTGAGGCCCTGTCTCTAAATAAAATACAAAATAGAGCTGGGGACATGGCTCAGAGGTTGATGAGGGGGTCCAATCCCTGGTACACCCCCGCCATGCTCAAAGTAAGCTCCTGAAAGGCCAGTAAACTTTTCAATAGTTGAACCCTGTTGAAAACAACTGTGAAAAACTATCTAGGCTCCCAAATAGGTGCTGAAAGGGTGACAAGAAAAGGCAAATACATTTTGTCAGCTACCTAGAAATACAGTAATATATAAGTCTAGATCAAACACATTAAAAAAAGACAATTAAGAAAACTTGAGGAATTCCCTCTTTGGTTTACTCAATTTTTAATTTGGGTTAAAGTAGGGGAACTCAGAATGTTATACAGCCATAATAGTTAAGTATGGTGATCTGATAGCTATATTGAGAACTGGTTGTACCAACCACCAGGAAGCCTAGTAAATGAAGATGCAGTGACATCTTCTGTTCACTTCTGGAATTAGCAACTCTTCAACTTGGAGAAGGGGAAGCTAAAGCCACTAGCAGCACTAGCATGACTCACAGGCATGGTCACCCCCACTTCCAGACAATGCTTACCATTAAAGAAAATGTAAATGTTCACACAAACTAGTGCACCTACTGATCTAGCGCTGTATGTGCACCATCCCACTTCACTTAGAGATCTGGGGCAGTGCCAGGAATGGTGGGTCAGAGGACTTATGTTCAAGATTCAGAGTTAATCTCATGAACCAACACAGTAAAGGCCTTAAAGAACAATCTGAAGGCAGTCACCGGAGGGAGAGTTACTCCATGCTCTCTCATCCTAGATTTTTAATTAGAGGTACCATATTCTACTATTGTTCACTTTTTCCAACTCTTTGTCTTCTACCCATCTATTTTAAAAATTCCTTTCTGAGTCTATAAATTCAGCTACTCTGGACAGATCATGTGCTTCACTCTCTTAGCTCAGGAACTAAATGCTTATGAGAATGGACGCTCTTCTGAAAGCCATTATCATTGAAGGAATCTAACGACATTTCTTCCCCTGGCTTAGAGAACTAAAGTTTCTCTAACTCACTGGGTCTTATTTCACTTAAGCCACCTCTTTGCCTTGGCTGTTGCACTGATTCTACACAGTAACTGTGGAAGAAAGATCATTTGAGAAGCCCCTGATTTATAAACACCAATTCTGATCCACTAAAGTTATCACCATCGTGGGTCATCAGCAACAGGAAAGTATGCCTTCTGTGTGGTACAGTTTCAGGCCTGTAGATGGCTGCTGGGCCTTGCACTCCAGAGTGTATTCACCCCCTGCATAGTATATGTGTATTTGTACTCAAACAAACAAAAAGGTAAAGATGGCCCAAAAGGCTTGTTTCATAGAGGCTGGCCATTCCCAATGGCCTGAATGACTTGATTACTGAGATAAACTGCTAGCTAGATATTTATCAATCACAGCCTTTTAAAAGGGAATCAACCAATGAAACTGCTTCAGTTTCAGGAGAAAGAATCTGAGGTTGAATGGCAAAAGAAATGGGCCCAGGGTCAGACTTCATCTAGAAGCAGACTAAGACATCCCACCTCTTAGAATGACTGGCTCTTTAAACTCGTACTTGTTTGTCCACGGTAGGAACTTGGGAGCCCAAGCAAAGGGAACTAACTATACAGCTACTTACCACTTCCTAGGCCTTAGTATCTTGACCCATAGACACAGAAAAGAATAAGTCAAGAAATAGTCAACAAGAATACAAATAATAATAAATGATGGAGAGGATGTAAAGAAAAAGGAACACCTTTACACTATTGGTGGCATTGTAAATTAGTACAACCACTATGGAAATCAGTATGGAGGTTCCTCTACAGAGTAGAAAAAGACCTAACTACCATATAACCCAGGAACACCACTCCTCAATATTTAGCCTAAAGAATTAAAGTCATCATACTATATTGATACATGCATACCCATGTTTATAGCAGCACAATTCACCAGAGCCAAACTATGGAACCAGCCTAGGTGTCCATGAGGAGACACCTGGAATTATGGAATTACATCATTTGCAGGAAAATGGAACGTCAGATCATTATGTTAAGCAAAATAAGCTAAACTCAGAAGGTAAAGGGTCATATGTTTTCTCTCATGTGGAAGAAAGGAAAAGGAAAAGAAAGGGGGGTGTGGGGATTTCATGAAAAATCAAAGGGAGATCAGCAGAGAAAAGGGCATAGAAGGAGGGAAGAGGGAAGTGCTGGGGAGTGTTACTGACCAAACCATACTGTCACGCTGTGTGGTGTACAAATACCCAACAAATACCACCATTATGTTCAATCTAATGCACAGTTAAAAAAAAAAGAAAAATGGAGAAAGTGGGGGGGGGGAGCCAAGAAGACATCCCAGAAAAGCAGTCAAGAAGGTAGAAACAAGTACCAAGTAAACTTAGTCAGAACTTAGTAAGCAAATGGAGAAACATGATTTTAAAATGTCTAGACTTCGGGTGACACCTTCGGGTGAGTCAGAACTTTGCAGATAGAAGACTCTGTGAATATTATACCATTCAATTCGGCCTTTTTATAGATGACAAACCTTATTATTAAAATATAGACTTCCTTTCATAGAAATATACAATAAATTACTAAAGAAAAACCATACCCTTTTTATTTATTAATCTTAGACTATCTGAAGTGTAGAATAAAAGGAAAACAGTTTACTCAGACGGAGCCCAAGTCCATAATCTAACAGATCACACTGATATGCAAAGACCTCTCAGATTATGGTAAGAATGCTTTTGAAAATCTGGCGTATCTAAAATTAGGTAACACAATGATCAAATTATATCAAAATAAGCACAAACAAGCATCTATAATTTGCTAGTAAAATAAAATTGTTAAAAATCAGTACAGCTAGGTGCAGTGGCGCACACCTGTAATCCCAGTGGCTTGGGAGGCTGAGGCAGGAGGATCCTGAGTTCAAAGCCAGCCTCAGCAACTTAGTGAGGCTCTGAGTAATGCAGTGAGACCCTCTCTCTAAATAAAAATATTTTTAAAAGGACTGGAGATGTGGCTCAGAGATCGAGTGCCCCTGGGTTTAATCCCTGGTACCAAAAAAATAATTTCCAGTGATAAGAACTTCAGCCTTTGATAAAACTAGACATTATCTCATCCCTGAATAACACCTTTGGTATGGAAGATAACAACAAAATAACAACTTGTTTTAAATCAATAAAATTCTATCATTCTGCTCTGCAGGTAGACCAACTCCATCAAGATCATGAAGGCCAAGGGTTGCATGTTTTCTCTCATACATGAAAGCCAAAGAGGAAAAAGGAAAAGAAAGGTGGGCAGGATGGGAGTCTCAGGAAAACTGGAGGGAGATCAGTAGAGTAGAGGAAAGGCACTAAAGGGCGGGGGAGGAGACGGGGGAGGGGAAATACTGGGGAATAATACTGGCCAAATTCTATTGTTATATTGTGTGCATGTACAAATAATGTAACAACAAATCCTACCAATATGCACAACTATAATGCATAAATAAAAAATATGGTTAAGAGAAGATCATGAAGACTCTATGTTAAAAACACAGATTCCTTGCCTCTATCTGCAAAGAATTAAAACAGATTTCTATAGAAAGTCTAAGAGTTCATAATGACAACTATAAAGAAAAAGAAAACAAAATAAACCCTCAATTCCTTTTTTATTCATTAGTTGCTGAGCACAACAGAGTGCCAACTCTGTAGAAACTGGAAATCAAAGGTGAAGAATTAAGCATTTAACCAGCTCTTTTGTAGAAACTAAAATTCAATAAAGTTATCATTGATGAAGAACTGTCCCCAAAAACAAGTATGAAAGAAATCACCCCTTTGTA